GGGGGGGGGGGGGGGGGGGGGAGAGAGCTCGTTAGGGATTCCGCCACCCTACATTGAGCGTATCCACACACATAACATTTTTCACGCTGTGTGTGTGAGCGCTGATTTAATAACAAATATATGCAAGTGTCACGGAGCTTATCAATTTTCACCTTGCCGCTGCAGTAGAGGGACATGGAGAAGTGGGTGTCCTTCGCGCGACCGGCGCCGGCGAGCAGGGACGGCAGGGCCTCTCCGACGAGCTCCATCTCGGAGAGGGTGCGGCAGCACCACGCCATGTGCACCTCGGGCACGGAAGCTCCTTCGGCGGCGGCGACGCACCAGTCCTGAGATTGAGAGCGGGGGAGGAGGTTTAAGAGGCGGCGGGTAAGAGGGTGTGTGTGTGGACGAGCCAAGCCGAGATGCGGCGTGTTTTCGAGCGGGGGAAAGGCGGTAGATTGGAGGATGCTTTTGGACGAGCTAAACCGAGATACGGCGTGTATGTCGAAGGAGGGGGAGGTTTAAGAGCTGACGGGTTAGAGGATGTGGACGAGTTAAACCGAGATCGTTGAGACAGCGGCAGACTTGCTGATGTTCGCACGCGTGAGAAAGCATCTGGAAAGGGCAGAAGCAGCCGGAATTTTGACGTTGTGTGGTTCGCCTGTCTCCGCCCCCACCCCCGCCCCACACAAGACCACACGGGTTTCTCGGTGTCTTCCCAATACGATTGTCTGGTCTTTGGTTCGGCTATCACTTCAGAATACCCCCCGTCCCAACGCTCCGTCCTCTCGAGGACGCGTGGTCAACGGTTTAATAGCTAAGGCATATGCAAAAACACAACTAACTACTGCAGCCCCCGCGCTCTTGCCTGGATGAAGCCGAAGACGGACGTCATGCCGGACCCGCCGGTCACGATCACGACCCGCGGCGCGCCGCCGATCATCATCGAGTTGAACGAGTTGACCTGGGTGTAGAAGCCGTCCACGTCTACCAGAAGAGCGGAGGCCGGGTTGCGGGCGGTGATGGCCCCCTCCGCCGTCAGCTTCAGGGCCTTCGTCCACGGACCCAGGTCCTTGATGTACACGGTGAACACGTCCTCCTCCCGGGGGGGCACCGCAGAGTCCGACGACGGGGCCACCTTCGCGGAGGAGGGGGGGGACGGGGGGGCCCCGCGGAGGGCAACGGTGATGGCGTGGGCCTCGTCCGTGCCGAGCGCCCCCGGCGCGCTGATGTACACGAACGATCCCCCGCGGGCGGAGGCCTTCTTGGGGTTGCGGAGGACCAGGCGGGTGTAGTTCTCGTTCGTGTAGGCGCTGACGAGGCTGGTCGGGCTGGCCTTCGTCTCGGGCTTGAACCACCTGTTCCAGTAGCGCCACCTGGCGGGGGGGCAAGGCAGGGGGCGAGGAGAGGGTCGTGAAGGATTTATTGAAGGTGGTCTTTGTTGTTGTGGCCGATGAGGTCATGTTCTGGTATGTGGGTTGCACAGAAACAAATGTCGGATGAAAACACGCCTCTTTCTCTTTGTTCTCTCTCTCACCTCTTCCAGGACTCGAGTCGCGACATGATGTGCAGGGTGTACAGCGTCAGACCGCCGAGGTAGTAGAGCGTGTTCCGAGACCACT